CCAGAACACGTTTCAAGCGAGGTTACATAATTTCAAAGCTAACTATTTACGTGCTTGCTTCTGTAATTGCTAAATTTTATCTAGCCAGTCGCAAATTTATAATGTTAGTAGGAGTGGAGCTTCTTGTGTAAGTGTTCGCCCAGGGAAGTACTACCACCTTACCTATTTCTGCGTCCTGATTTTGATTCAAAGCAGAGTCGAACCGATCGGGTAGTTTCGAAATCAGATGGGTTCCCGAGCGAGAAGATGAATCTGATTCCTAATATGTCTTTATAATTTGAGTGTTAAATCAACTATTCTTCCGATTAGAAATGTCAAAAGTTTCCAATCGACCACTTGTGCAGCTTGATTTTAATTGCCTCTCCCAATCGAAAACTGCGTGTTTTCCGAGTTGCGGATGGGCTACCCGATCGGATCAATTCCAATTTGAATTAAAATCAGGGTCGTGAATTGAAATTATGCGCCTCGACTCGGGAAAGACGCAGTTTCCGGTCGGAAAAGGGAATCAAAATCAAGCTGCAGGTGCTAGTAAAATTACACTTTAGGGTGACGTGCGCAATAAATATAAATAAATGTTAGATACGTTGCTCTGATCCCAAAGTAAATAACTAAAGCACTTGCGTTATGGTAATCGGAAACAACAACGGTACCACAAACACCCACACCGGAAACAATGTAGAAAAGTTGGTTTTCTTCACTGATACGGCCGGGGATCGAATCCGGGAGCTCGGAGATGGCGACACCGTGAACTTCTCACCGTGACCGGTGAGAAGGCCAGTGGCAGTGCCTCTCAGATCTTTGCGATTCAAAACTCTCGAGTGGCACTGCGTCCATTGCAGGGACAGGCGTGTGGCTCATCACCACGCGCACTACTTGTTCGGGCCGTTATGATGATATCATAAAAAACATATATTTGCTTACTTTATATGAAAGTACATGCTCCTAACGATTTTTTTTCCACCCTGCAATGTAATCATCGTAAAGTTAAAGTTGCAGATAATGTTAAAAGTTACTCCGTTCTGAATTTCGCCGACCACAACACAACTTAATTGATGCATATTTTAAACCACAGCGTGGTCCGTTGAATAATGTATTACAAACACTCGCTTATGCCAAGAATAACCGTTTGGTCGCACTGTTTGTTTATTAAGCTAGGTTTAGTTGGGCTTATGTATAGTCAGTCAATAACAGTCTTTGAATAGAAAGAGTTCGTCTAAGGGAAGTATTGGCACCATTTCTGCCGCCAAGCAATAACGTGAGCGTTACTGTGTTCTGGAATTAAACGATTATTGCTACACTACAAATAACCGAATGTAAACAAACCGTAATGAGGTATTTTATGAGGGATTACCAGATTATTTATTGTAAACTTATAATGGACCTTTTGAAAATAGTTCTAAATATATGATAACATTTTCAGGTATTTCGACCTACCTATTTGAAATAGTACTGAATATATAAGATGTTTAATAAAACATATCAACTTTCCTACGATAAACAACCTAAAATCCAGCCCTTTATAAAGATGGCAGCTAATAACATGCGACTAAATTATAGAGTACAGCAGTAATACGACATATGAAACTCGCTAATAAATATTTTATTTGACCGGTTAACGAAGTGACAGCTGAAGTTTGTTTTCCTTTAGTTAATTATCTATACCGTTTATGAGATTTGTGATGGACACAGTGGCAGTGCCCCTCAGATCTAATAAGCAAATTAAAGCTCTGATTTAAGACCAGGCGCACGCCTTGTTCGTTCCGTCACTAGGTATAATAAAAAGAAATAATCTCACGTGTTAAGCGATGACGTAATCTACGATTGGGTGCACGAAAGCAGCCTCCTAGTAGAACTAGCACGACAGGGCGCGACTTACACGAGAGCGATATAGAAGCCCGAGATATTGCTTTTCTCTATGCAAGACCAGTAGTGTCTCGCGCTGTTTGTCGCTCTCGCGCAAGCCTTGCCCTGTGGTGCTAGCCCCACTGGGCAACAATCACCGAGAATCACATGCCTATTGGCATATGTTTTCACAACGATGGTACACAAGTCTCATAGCTCTGGGCTGCAAAGCTATACTATCGACTTGCGATTTGTCGGTAGGCATGTTTGCTTACCACCAAGTGCACGACTAGTAGGGCTAGCACGACAGTACGTGACTTGCGCGAGAGCGACATAAAGTGCGAGATCTCTATGCAAATATAGCAGTATCTCGCGCTTTATCTCGCTGTCACGTAAGTCGCGCCCCGTTCGTGCTAGCCCTACATTCGTTTCGTCATTTAATAATAATATAAAAATATTTTTATTGAATATCATGGTGTCTTTGACTACTAAATTAATCCGTTTTTTGAGAAAATAGTCCTATTACTAGTTGGAACAAACAAAAGAAAAATTATTTCGATCCGACTGGATTCAAACCAGTGTCTGTTGACTCAACATGACTACCGCTCTGCTAGCTGAGCTACGATTCGAGCCAGCGGATCTTACGAATTTCTCTATATTCTTGTTGCAGATCTTTGTATTGTAAACCCGACCTCAGAAGTTCGTGGAATTACATCTATTTGCCTAGTTTTATTGAAATCGGTTACCGGAAAGTGCGCGAAAACGGATTCATCCCTTAGTTTGCCACCCTTAGAGGTGGAATATTTTCTTCAAATTTAAATGGGACCAATAATGATGTACCCTCTTTCCAACAAAAAGAGAATCATCAAAATCGGTTCACAAATTATCGCGTAACTACTTACAAAAAAATACAATCGAATTGACAACCTCGTCCTTTTTTTGAAGTCGGTTTATAATAATAATATAAAAGTATTTTTTAAATTGTTTTGATGACGGTTGTGTGGGTTGCCCTAAGATACCCGAGTCCCTAACTAACTGTTTACTTCTGAGTAGATAGCGACGCGTGAAGAGAAGTGTTAATCATACCTTAAACTTGTGAATAGTAAAATTAATTTTGATGTGACTTCCTGATTGCATCTCATCATTTAAGAAACTTTTTAAACCAATTTGATTTGTAATGTATAAGCTGCAGTTCCTTTTACACTTTCTGATGAATGGCATCGACTGAGCCTGATGTACAAAACATATTCAGAAGTTTCTACCAAAAAACTGTCTTCGCAAGTAACAAGTGCCAAAACAAGTGATGAAATCAAGTTCTCTTGCTCAGTCGACAACCTTGTATTCATCGAGCGATACGTTATTAACATTTTAATATTCTTATGAGATGCAAATTATTTCATTAGCTAGTTATTGTTTGCAAAATTTGTTTTTAACTTGTCGAACGTGGGAGTTATCTTAATGGAATAAAATTACTCGACATAAACTAAGTATATACCTGCAAAGGTCTTGTTACTAGTTGGAACCGTCTGTCTGAATCAGAAGTTGAACGATTGCAATGGTTCTTTGATGTTCTTTGATCTAGCACCAATGGACTATCAAAGCGAATTAGATACGTTCCTATGGGAAAGAAATTTAGTATTAGCGTCGTCTGTATCAATCTCGTCATTGAATACATGACTGGTTGTTGATTTAACAGAAATATTTACTATACTCCGTCCAATCATTTATTTCACTTTTGTCATAGGCTTGCCTCCGAGTTCCGTGATTATTGGCAAACAATAAATGTAATACTTCCTGGACTATTTTATATGTTTTTCGTATCGTATGATTTTTCAATTTGAATATTTTGAATGTAGGTTTTAAACTTAGGAAATGAAAATCTTAATTTATGCTCCGGAATCTTGTCTAAAAGCGTATACATTTCCCTATAAAAGAATCGTTTGCTTTATTCAAGCCGATTCCGATTTAATAGGTATGATGATTCCCTTATGAAGTTAGGTGTCGCGTCCAGCCTTCACTCTGTAGGGCTAGCACGATAAGGTGCGACTTACACGAGAGCGACTTACTACGATATAACGCTAATTCTACTGATGACCAGCGGACTGACTGGCCACAAAAACTCACTAAAGTGACAGGAATTCAAAATTAGATTGACTTTCTTTTGGACAAAAGATGATGAGGCAAGTCTTGGCTAAACATCTGACGACGGAAGATGACTCTTCCTGACCTGCAACTTGTACAATATCGTCGCTGACTTATTTGTTGATCTATTGATGATCTAATAATTTTTTAACACACTATTTTCACCTACCGTTTGATCAGCACAAGCACTTATTTCTGATTAGTGCATACGTCACGTTGACCGCGAGACATACTTTAAAATAGACATATATTACTTATTTGTCAACTAATTGAAATGAAACAGACATTAAATGTCAATCCAAGCTTATCTTACCCCTGGATGTTGGCATCTGGATGGAGGAATGTTTCGCTCACAGCGACGAATAATTCAAACCGTTGTCAGCAGACCGCAAGAGCAACGTGTTTTTTATTTATGTAATTTCCATTTAAATATATTATTTTAACACTTACCTGTTATTATAATTTATTCACTCGCTCGTTAACATTGGTCCTTCGATTAATCCGTACCGATAAACTATATCCAAATTGGTTAATCCATTCAATAGGGCTGGCACGACGGGACGCGACTTGCGTGAGAGCGACATAAAGTGCGATATACTGCTACAGTTGCATAGAGACCGTGCGCCTTATGTCGCTCACGCGCAAGTCGCGATCTGTCGTGCTAGCCCTACTGGACATAGCGGTGTACAAACGCACATACGAACAGTAAAAAAAAACTAACAACTGATGTTTTAGATTTAGTAGTGTGTCTTCAGTAGTTTTGACTTCCTTTAAAAGTATAGATTCAGTTTTATTACGATTTTATTATATGTATTTATGCAATTATATATGTTACTGTTTTATGGATTACCATATATTAACAATCATATAAATAGTATAACGTGGACCGAAAATAGATTCTTTAGGAACTTTTTATTTTTTTCAATTTTATTCGAAATTCAATCGTGATAAAATCATCCTTATAATTATTGTTATATCAGATTTTTCTTCGATTAACCGGCAACCCATTTTTTCAGGTGTACATAGCACTGTTCAAGCCTCTACGTGTCTCAAGGCGGCAGTTCCGTCGCGTGTTAATGTGCATGCGCAACGTGCGCCATCTCAAGTGCCATGAGCTCTACGCGCACGAAAAGGTCACCAAGGTCGACAGCCTATCCCTTGTGCTGTCTGGCAAGTGAGTATCCAAACATTCCAGGCTTTAGTCTATGTTAGGGAGTCTTTAAGACAAAGAGATTTTCATACAATATCTATCCAAAGTACAAAGCACAGTCGTAGTGCCACAGTCACAGTTGTGACACGCGCGCACCATTTTTGCAAGCAGTTTCCATATTATACTAAAAATAATCTAGGATGATCCTTCTGACAGATCTTAAAAATCTACACAATATTATAACCTTGAAACTACGTGCACTAGTTTACGTATTTCATAAACAACTTTTATAATTTTCGCTTTTAAAGAATCACCTTTGTTGAAGTAAATACTTTAAAAGTCCAAATCAATGTTAATCTGTGAGAAATGGGCGGAAAAACATTTTTCCGCTTTCGGGATCCCAGTTTACATATAGTGAAATACGTAAACGTAAACGTACGCTTGCACAGTTGCCCTACTAGTTTTTTTTGTATGATTCTAAGTGCTGGGACAAGTCGTGTGCCTGATGGTAAGCGACACGCCTGTCCATAGCAGCTGCAGTGCCACTCTGAGCTTTTCAACGGCAAAGATCTGTGGGACACTGCCACTGCGTTCGTCCCTGAGAGTTATCAATGTGTAAATCAATGTGTAATGTGTAATCAAGTAGTTAAATTAACAACTTTTGTGTCCTTACTTCGGGTGGTTTGCGTTAATATTTATTTTTTAAGGATTACCAACAAAAATTTTACACTTTAACATACACAAAACAATAAATACTTAATAATTTTTAATCTTAATTAATTATTAATCTCTGCGTCGCGAGCCATGGACATACGACATAGACATACACATATTGCACCCAAACTCACGAGAGAAATAAATGTAGGCCATACAAATATGTCTTCCGGCCCGAGAATCAAACCCGGGACCTCTGCGGGACCAGCATGGTAACCGTTCGGTCACAGAAGCAGTTGTATCAACAGCTTCATTGCCGCAGGGCACTTGATTATATAAACTAGACAGGCGAGGGACTGGGGAATGCTCTCCGACATTGGTTTTACCACAGACAGGTTCTACTGACACGGGCATGGGATAAGGGGCGCGGCTGGCGAGGTGAACGTAGGGATGCTTGCAAACGAAATTTTGCGGCTATTATGCGAAAAAGTGTGGCTTCTTTGATGCGTAGAATTTGTGGCAGCGGTAACGGCCTCCTTATTGAAATCAGGGTCCAGGATTCGTTTTATGAGCACTAGATTCGAATGCATATCAGTGAGATAAAGAAGAGTAAATGTATGTAATACTAACCCTATTTTTAATTGCTCTGTTACCAACCCTTATGGCATATAAGCAGCACAAGCCGAGCGAGCGTGACGCGGCAGCGGCCGGCGAGTGCCAGAAACAAATTTGTTTGCGTTTCCAAACATGTTTTTAGGCCAAATTATAATTAGTGAAATTAGTATTAAAAATATAGTTTTTCGGAAATAATCATATCTACATGAAATGAAATTTAGATAAAATGACGTTATGTTAATGATGGTTTATATAACATAAGGTTGTTATTAAAAATGAGTGTTAATGTAAGTGATCGTTACAAAAAATTTAATTATGAACGTAAGTTTATATCAAACGTTCGTTATATGGAGTCATCGAGTATATGAAGTGAATTACTATATTTAATGAGTTTATAGGAAATAAAATTATGCCAATTGAGTGTGACGTAAATAATATATATACGATACTTTACACACCCGACTAATGCCATCTTAGTCAGTCGTGACCACGGTTTTGGATTTAGTTGAAAAGCGCGCGAAGAGGTTTGTAGGTGACTCGGATTTAACAGAGGCGAAGCTGCAGAGCCTTGAACGTTGTGTAAAGTTAACTCCTTATCGGTGTTCTACAGGATATGCCACATATATCACGAGGAGTGTGCGAGGGAATTGCATGATATATCCCGCCTTCCTCTTTCATCATCGGGGAACTAGATGTAACCTAGGGTTCCACATCAAGGTCGTGGGTATTCCAAGGTTCGCACGAAACGTTACCCTTTTTTTACGAGGGAAATCTTTATAAATCTTTATGTGGGGACTCTCCCTCCAGACTGGAGGGCCTACCCCACTAAAACCCCCCTGGGTTTACGTCTGGCCGGTTGAGTCGGCGCCGTGGGGTCGGTGAACATTCACCACGACGCCGCCCGGCCGCCCTAACTTGCGCCAGGGCTCCCGCGGCAACGGAAGGGCAGGTCGGAGGACAACCGACCCTGTGTCTATGGCTATGCCCAGAGACACAGCCACCATACCCTCCCTCTCGCCGTTAGCCTCCTCCACGATGTGTCGCAGCGACTCCAGGGCATCCAAGGTGGAGAGTCCAGCCCTGAACCCGTACTGCCGCTGCGACACATCGGGGCCTGTCCCCCTCAGGTGTTCGTTGATCCTGGAGGCGATAATTCGCTCCAGGATCTTCGCCACCTCGTCCATAGGGACGAGGGGTCTGAACCCGGAGGGGGACGAAGCGTTACCTTTCCACATTTATATGGCGCACAGCTATGAGACGGAATTCTCAGACTTATTGCCTGAACGCTATAGCTTGGGCCTTTTCAAGACGAGAGTGAATAGGCATTATTTAGGTGTGCACGCTCCATCGTCGACCTCATCGTCACTTTTCATCAGTGAAGATGAAGTCAAATGCCCGCTTATTCCATTATAAAAAAAAATTGAAATAATATTTAGAAAGAATATTTTAATACCACTAATAACGCACCTGATACTGGATCATCAAAAGGTGTGTCCTAGTCCGATATTATTTGGGATAACGATCACGAAACTCTCTGGTAACAATCTATATTTAGTAAATAACTATCCACAAACAGGTAAACATCTTTACGGATCTGAAGTGCTTCGTATATTTTTGTTATTTTCGAAAACATTTTCTATGATAGCTTTTCCTTTAGCATTTGCTTTGAGAAGTTTTTGTTACCTGTTCCAATCATGGATCTTACAAAACTGGTTCAATAAACAAGACATCGTTATATTGAAAAAGATCAGATTTTTTTCTTTTTAATAAAGGATTCTGTACAATCGCAGATAAAATCATTGTTATAAGTTTCCATTCTTACCGTTAACTCAAACTTCTGAGTTCATTAATTTTTTGTTTCACCTTCGAGCTCTTGGAAAAAAAGCTATGTAGTTAATTGAATATAATTGGCAAAATAAGGATATCAGGATGGTCCTTGTACGAGTTTTTACCTAATCGAAATTTGCCTACAATTTTTTGGATATGCCAGACCAATCGCACCAATCGCCTGGTCTCAAACAAGGGAATCCCCTGTACTATGAGTACCAGAGCAACGTAACTCACTTTGAAGCACTTCTCAGAACACCATGAATAGAAGCAATTAAGAAAAGTGCTTTTCCCAAAAATCCCACCGAGATCATACAAAAAAACTATAACAAATTGCCTAATCGAACGAAACAAATTATAAGACGTTTAATGAATTTCTGATCGAAAACTTCCTATCCCAACGGAATAGTTGAAAACAGCCTACTTTTACTCTCTTCCCTTCTAATTTGCTGTGCCCGGAAGGGTTCATGATGTGATTTGTTTTACTATGTAACATAATTGTGGAATGCAAATAAAGAATGTAGAATCGAACCCGGGTCCTCGTTGTTCTGTACCTACAGGTAGAAATATAATAGAAATTGTATGAAATTTAATTTTATTTAGTAAAAGAACAAACAGATTTTTTTGTCAGTTATATTTAAATGCGATTTTTTGAGAGACAAAGAATTATTATAAGGCGATCTCTTCGTCCCTCCATCGGTATTTGGACTCCACGTAGTCTCTCTTCACCGATTATGATTAGACGATTTCAAAAAAGTGGAATAGAAAAAGGAGTACACCAGCCGTAACCTTAGTGGCACCGCCCCGACTGTCAGTCAGATAAAAGTTTAACAATTACTCAAATATTTTGTATACCCGTAAAAATATACATAATTTCATTAAGAAAGAAGATATCCATAATATTAATCTTAGAACTACGTCCAAACTCATGGTACCACGATTTCGTTTAACTAAGGTAAACGACTCTTTTATGGGGAACTATATACGTTTTTACAATAAGATTCCAGAGATTATATTTAGATTATCATTTCCTAAGTTTATAACTTACATTAAAAGTATTTAATTGAAGAGTCATATTACAAAATTGAAGAGTATGTTTTAGATAAAGAAGATGGAAAGACAACGAAAGGTTAGATGTCACACAATTATGATTCAAAGTGTATTCCATAGCATTTAAGTTTAATTGAAAACAACAATCCCTAGGGTTTCTTGCTCGTTCTTCTCAGGGAGGTCAGCGCAATGAACGAGCAGTACCTTAAACAGTAGCTTAAAAAATGACGTTTTCAAGTGTAAAAATCTACTCTATGGCTTAGAATAATAACGCATAGAAACCTAGTCCGCACACGCTGAGTGAGGCAAATTAAAGCGCGCCAAAAGGGCCTACACGAGCGGGCGGGCCTTCAGTGCTCAGGGTCAACTTGCACCGCGAACAGATCAAGAATTTTAGCTAAAAATGACGAAATGTGCGGTAAATGAGTGTAAAAATACGTCAGACAAACATAAAATAGATACTACATTACATTCCACAAGGAAGTAACGCGTTTCAACTTGTATTTTTATATAAATATTCACTAAAACCGAAAATTAACCTACTACTAAAACTAGCCTGCATGAATTTGATTTTTGCCTCACTTGTGACAGTTCGTTTGATATGAAACTATCATTCTATGCTCTATGGAATAAATGATTAGTTGACTTTGACTGGCCCTAATCATTTACTGCGTCCAGCGATACCAGAAACATTATTATACTTGCCACGGCTTCATTAGTCCACAAAATCTGCGGATATTGTGGAGTATACATGTATATATCGGTGAAAACCAATACTACTGTGAGGGTCGAGCAGTAGGGGTCCCGCCACAATGTGAATTTTAATTCATTTATGATGAGAGTACCAACTCAACATCTGTCGACCTTCATGATGGAGG